CACTTGAGGAACATTGTGTACATTTAACTATCAGAGAACTCGTTTGCTAACATGTGGAATTATACAACAAAATTTTTATGGTCTATGCTATTTTCTGCCCAGATGATTCCCCCTTTCACATTTTTTTTGAAGAACCTAAGGAATGGGAACAGCCCACATTTGTTACGCTTAGATGCAACCCAAAAAACTATGTTAAGTATACGACATTTCATTCTTGCCTCCACAGAGCCGAAATTTCCACTTGAACAAAAAAATAAAAGCAACAGAATTCAAGTCAACCCAAAAACTTTTTTCAAGTTAGTTATTTTTTTCCTCAGAGGTATTGTCCTAACTCAGTATTTGACGAAGTTTTTCAGTGTTACTTCTAAACATGAAAGACTAGTCTTGTTTAGCTAGGTATTGGGGTATTGTGAAAAGAATAAATACGGCGTTACGTTGGGTTTGGGCAAAATAATAAATGCTCTACATTTGCATTGTGACAAAATTTTGCTTTGACTTCAACTAAATATCGACCATTTCATTCAGTAGTCGTGGGCTGCCGGTAGAGAAGTTTCTTGGAGGTTGTAGATAAGATCTCGAGTTAACAAATCGACAGTAGTTTGACGCGTGCTCTGCACTCTTATCGAAGATATTCGTCATCATAGTGGTCAAAATGAGGCGCAGCCGATTGGGTCCGCAAAAAAAAAAATGACTTTTAGTGAACTGAATTACAAAATAACCAAAACATACCTTTAAATGGCGCTGCAGCCGTAAAATTTCGAGCTTAAAAGCTTCATTTTCGTAAGCCAACGTTCCGAACTCTTTCTGTAATTTCCCGCCGATTTTCTAAAATTCCCGGATATTCAACCCAGGCTTTCTCAGTCATATCAGATTCATTGCGAGCTAGCTGCGAAGGAGCATCTTGATAACGCGATTATGACAAGACAGACCAAACAAACTTTAAAACAGAGAGAAAACAGAGGTTACACCGAACTTTTTAACTGTCGGGCATTCGTTCGGTTTGAGACTGAGCGCGGCTGGTAACACGGGTATTGAAAATTAGTCAACTAATGGAAAATACTCTCGTCACGTTCGCAAAAAAGGTCTTCTGCAGGCATTCGATCAAAATTTTCGAAATTCAAGTTCTCATGTGTTACGAAAGGAGAGATTGATTGATTTGCATAAGTTCGGATATTACATTAACTAAAGGACAAATATACTGTCTTCCATTGACACTTCTCGAAGAAACATCCAACACTCCCAAGAATTTCGAACATTTCGGAGAGGATTGTGTGCAATTTCTGAACTCCACGTGTTTAATCCAGTTGATATAACCACAGCGTGAAAAGGGCTACGAGGCTGGGATGGGGGAGAAATCAAAAGAAGAGCTTTTGCCAGCATAGCGTTACCACAGTCACGCGTCAAAAACGCACGAGTTCGGATTTCTCCACCATCGCGCGTGGCGTCCGTGTTCTGAGAAATAAACCTGAGAAGAAGACTAATAAGCTTAAGAGCCTCACCGCTGATTTTTTTTTTTTTTTTCGCCCTGCTTTTAACCAAAGGATAACAACATTTGTCAATCGCTCCTCCAAGCCCCGTGTGGGGTCATTTGCAAGTTCCGTATTTTTATTTAACTGGAGCGAACATTTCATTGTGTACATTATTTTCTCATGAAAGGATTATTACATTAAAATTTCATCAACGTGTTGTAGATATCGTTTGAGGACGCTGTAATGCCCATGGAATGTCGCTGTCGCCGGCAACGGAAATCGATTTAATAAAACCGAGAATGACCGATCACGTTTTACATTACTTCGCGAAAGGTCTTTACCACTAATCACCTTCAAACCGTATAGTGTTTCGAAACGAAGATAAACAGATGACTGATATGCACTTAGAATCTGATGAAAGGCGTTCTGTTATGATATGTCTCTGTGTCGCCCGCCACCCATCTATCACAGATATGAGCAGTCCTTCTTTTCCAGCTTCTTAAAAAGTCGAATCAGGGGAATCCAAAATCAGTGTGCGAAAATGAAAATCATACTAGCCTCTAGCTCTCTCGCCACCTGAGTGGCTTCACACACGACTGGAATAGTGGAACTGTTCATTTTTTCTTTCGATCTTTCCCACCTGAAGATCGGATAACAACGCGATAGACATATATCTGTCTCCTGTCATTCGAGTTACTAAAATAACAAGTCGCATTTTGTACAATAATAACACGAAAGAAAACTCACTTTGGCGCAATTGAAGTTATTGTCCTTGGCTTGCTTCTGACACAACTTTAGAGACTGACATTCCTTCATAAGAAATTAATTATACAAAACTCATTTTCAGTTCAATCCAAATTTCATTGTCTCCCGAAATCATCGAGGACACGTTCTCTGCCATTTTCAAAGTTTGAAGTTTACAGCATGCACGAGTTTCTCAATTTTCTAACGTTAAAATTGCTCCTTCTTCACAACAATTACTTCTTCGCTCGGCATTTCTACGCACACTAGTTGAACCGCCTCGCCCGGTCCGTTGAGATTCGCTGAAGGATACAGACAGTTGTTTAATAATTCTTGTTCAGTTTTCGTCAATGGCGGAGGAATATCATCGTCTTCAGACTCGACATTACCACTCAATAGTGTTTCATCCACACCTCCATTCGGAGAATCTGGGGCCATTGTTTCTATGCTCTTCCTTAGTGATTCGTCGCTATGAAATAAACACCAGGGAAGTCATGTTTAGTTTACCTTTGTGCAACATGAGAACGTATATTGAAATATAAAAAGGTAAATAAATCGCATTGTTGTGACAAGGGTCATTTTCAACCCAGCTGTTCAGATTTGATAGTCGAAGGAAACTTCATATATACCAAATCCTGTTCTTAACAAGGCACGCTCTCAAATACGCAACTCAAAATTACTGCTCGGTTTGATACGAATTAAGCCTGTGATGTGGGCCATTAGGAGACTATAGAAAGCAGTTAACTTTACAAAGATAGCGTAGCTTTCAATCTCAGCTGATTAAAGAGTTCTCGTCAAAATATATTCAGCTACTTAATGGAGGGATTTATGTAATTTTGAAAAGTATTCTTTTCACAAAAAAGAAACGAAACCAGGTAATCGACTGAACAATTACTAACGTATCACGAATAAATAATACCAACTGCACTAAACGACATATCTTAAAGTAAAAACACATAAGTAAACAACTGCGTGGAATAATTTCCTTTTTACATAAAGAGCTAATTCTCGTGTGATCGTACCTTTTGTTCGAGGGAATTCTGTCGCGTTGTCTTCTATTTTTGAACCAATTGCTCACTTGCTTCAAAGTTAATCCGGTCTGTTTAGCGATGAGTCGCTTCTCGTGCGGGGTAGGATAGCGATTTTGCTCGTAACATTGCTTCAGCAGCTGCCGTGATTTTTCCTTAAAACAGTAAACTGTTTCCTCGCCGTCCCAAATAGTCCGTGGGAGTGGATACTTTCGTCTTATCCTGTATTTATCCACAGCTCCAAGCTCTCGTCCACGCAACTTCTCGGCCTCGCAGTAATGAGCTTTATACCACATGTTCTGCAGCATTTCATGCGAAGACGGATCAAATTCATGACTTTCGAGTATCGTGTACACTTCGCGGAACCTTCCACGGTGAAAAGCAACGAAAGCTCTCGCTTTCAGCACACTCTCCGTTCCGCTTAGAAGCTCGTTTGGTGGGAGTGACCATAGAAATCGAGCCAACCTCTCGATGTCTCCCGACTGCCTCAACGCATCGCAAACACAAGCTACTTGATCGGTGGAAAATGTTAGAGTAGCAGCCTCCGCTTTCGCTGGCGTGACGTTGTCAAAAGCTTCCATATCTTCCCTTTCGAGAACATCAAATTTCTCTGGCCTCACAGGGCTAAGGGTAATGCATTGTCCCTTTACTTTTTCAAGTGAGAGTGGCTGAACAGCTAAATGTGCGATTATGCCACAGAAGATTGTTACAAATCAAAACCGCGTATCTTGATTGGCTCGTAAGTTCTCTAATCGATGACATCGGAAATTCTTTGGTCACAAGTCCGTTTGTCGCGATTAGAAGGCGGGACTTACCAAGTTAGGTGTCAATTTAGTACGCTTTGTTCTTGATAGGTATCAATCTATGTTGATCTGGATCTCGAGTTTTCGACAAATCATAGTAAAGAACTATAATTAGTAAAGGGATTTTAACTTTTTCACACCTATCATAACAAAAGCGACTTGGCAAACACCGCTCATCTGGGAGAATTCGCACGGACAATAAAACCTGATTCATATCTACCGTCTAGCCACTTATAAAATCGATATAATGCACAAAAGGGTACTACGTGCTACACTTCCTTAAACAGTCCTCCGATTGACAAACACTACGTTATGCGAGGAAACGCGTGAATTTCCTGTTCTCTCATAGATAAACGATGTTAATTGCCCATGTAAATGTTTGGTTCTTGAGAAAACTTAAAATCGAGTACTGCACCGGCTTAAATAATGCACTAAGAGAGTATTTCTTTCTTTTCATGAAGAACACTGAAGAGTGCGTGTTATTTTAATTACAGCTGTTTTGGTAAGCTTTTATTCGTGTGTCATAGTGTCGAATCTACCGCCTCACATCTCCCTAATCCCTTTTATGGAAATTGTCTCGCGTAAACACACAAACCGAAACCATTTCTTTAAAACTAAACACGAAAACTTTTAACATTTTTCTAACCCATTGGCCTTTGTAAACAGCTTTCCAGAATCACTATCTTGGTCTACTTCGTTCCCGTGAATCGGAGTCACATGAGGTTGCTGACGCAACGTCGCGCCCACATAGTTTGTAAATCACGTGCCATCATAGTTTATAAGTTTTCCCACAAGAATCTCAGAAGAATTATAATCATCTTGAAAACCCGAAAGGAAATGAGCTTTCGTTATTCATCTGTCTAATTCAAATAGTTTTCTTAATTAATTAGAGTAATAAACAATAGATTTTTGACTAGTTAATGCGCGTGTATTTTCTCAGGTATTCGATAATGGTCGAAAATAGGCATTGTCACGCAAGGATATAAAAAAGAACTACGTAGTACCCCCCCCACAAAAAAAAGGGAGATGATGAAAACCAATCCCTTCTGCAGTCTATCGTGTAAGATTCCACATTTAGTTGGCTAAAATCAATCTTATTATTTCTCTCTTGCTCATTTTCGACTTTCCAAGGAGCATTTCGTTTCGTCAAGGTGCAATGTTCCCTTCGCCAAGCCGACTGGCCACACATGAAGTTGCGTTACACAATCTTTCTCCCGACCTGTAATGGAGCGCGTGATCAACCCAATCAGAGCGCATCCCGGACGAAGCAAGTCTTTTCGTGCGTCTAAAAGAACAACCACATTTCTTCCCGGCTTGCTTGGGCCGCGTTTTAGGCCTTTATCGAAGGCTGGCGAGTCGAGCATGGTC